GACTTCACGCAGTGGGTTCCGACTGCGCTGCAACACCAAGTGCGGACCACTACGTGTCGCCAAGGTGAACGCTGAAGTACTCGTCCGTTACGCATAGAGGACATCTCATCACTAATCTACACCAGCCATACACAACAACCGCAACACAACCACCAGTGAGCGCACAAACAACCCACTGAACACACACAAACACACACACACAGAAACCGCTCACGCACATGCACTCTCGCAAGTAACCACACATATGGTTGGCGGCATCTGGTTTCGGATTTGCCTGTCACTGTGGCAAGCCACAGGACGCCTGCGCCTACAGAGGGACCATGGATGGTTTGCGCTGCACCACCCACAGCTCCAACCACACACCCCATATCCAGTGTAAACCCGAAGGAATAAGACCGGGAGGCATGCGGATGGGAACCACGTTTCATTAACGGAGCCGGCCCACACTTCTTCACAGGCAAACACAAGCACACTGTATTTGGGAATCAAGCACACACAAGGCGGTGGCTGGACGGTAGTCCGCTCCACACTGACTGCATGGAACCACTCTTTGATCCTAACACGGCCACAAGGACCGTGCACCCTGTCCCCTCCAGCAATGACCAACTGTCTCCTGGAGACAGTATGGACGAGGTAGTGGGTAATAGACAGGTAGGCACCTTGTCAACATGCACATCAAGCGGATCCACACCGGGGATATCAAACAACAGCCAAACACTTGAAAAACTCGATTAATGCATAAGGAAACGGTGATATAAACCTTAATTAAATAGCATATATAATAAGTTGATTACAAACAAATCCTAGCTAAGTGCACGAGGTCAGAAAGTATAGTTCACGGAATGCCACGAACGCAAAAATGTTATGGAAATCGAATACAATTGGCTGAAGCGATGTGTGCAAGTTAATGAAATAGAGTACAGGGAGATATTTATATGAAACCATTAAGGTAAAAACTGTAAACCCACCACCTGAAATAAAGACTTAGCATGCAAGCACGCGGTTAGTAAATCGAATTCAGCGTGCCTACAAACACTGCGCCGGCTCGCCGTAATTCTCTGTAGGACCCGTCGTCGCTTCTGTAGTGGCCCCTAATGGCATAGCTCATGGCCCACTAGACATTTATATGAGAAAGAAAGGCATTAGGACAGAACCGAAAACCCACCACCTGTAATAAAGAGACTTAGCATGCAAGCATGCGGTTAGGAAATCGAATTCAGCGTGCCTACAAACGCTGCGCCGGTGCTGCCTATGTTCACTGCGGGACCCGTCGTCGCTTCGGCAGTGGTCCCGAGTGACCTCTCTCATGGCTCACTAGGCCTGCCTGACTAAGGCACTCGCGACCACATGTTCTACAGCACCATGCGCTCGATGTCGATGGAGTACAATACATCGGTGCTTGCCGCTTCCCAACTGCCGCTTCTTCTCTGCATGCATGAGGGCTTTCTCCCGCACTTCAGCAACTGCCTTCGTGATTAGATCGCGCCATGCACCACGATCAACCGCCTTCGATTCCCATGATCTGCAATCGAGATTAGAACGTGTGAGGCTCACTTTAATAATGTCCTGGTAACGTAACTTTGGTTTCCACACGTGCCGCTTCCCAATACTCAGCTGACCGTATAAAAGTTGTTTCGGTATCCGCGCCGAATCCATACGGCTCACATGACCGAGCCATCTCAGGTGTCGCAGTAAAAGTATGCCGTCCACTGCATACATCCCACTTCGGCGCAACACTTCCGTGTCTGCAACTCTGGCGCCCCAACCGATCCGCAAAATTCGTCGCAGACACTGCTGATGGAACCGCTCGAGATATCGCACATCCCGATGGTACATCGTCCAGGTTTCACTGCCGTATAGAAGAACGGACAGTACCATGGATTTGTACACCATCAGCTTCGTGCCAATGGTAAGCTGATGGTTGTTCCACACTCGGTACTCAAGCTTCCCGAATGCCGCTGCCGCCTTCGACACGCGATTATGCAACTCAACGTGTAGCTGCTGATCAGTCGATATCACACTCCCAAGGTAGCAAAACCGGGAGGTGGTTTCCAATACTACAGCACCAATGCTGATTTGCGGCAATATTGAAGATTGCACCTCCGGTGAAGGCTGAAAGAGACAGACAGTTTTGCTTGTGTTGATGGTGAGCCCGAATTTGGCCGCTGTCGAAGCCAGAGCACTAGTCATGTGCTGCAACTCATCCGCGCTGTGTGAAAACAACGCACAGTCGTCAGCAAACAGCAACATACGGATAGTTGTCTCACAGACTAGAGTTCTCGCACCGAAACGACGGACATTCAACAACCCACCATCAATACGGTGCTCCACACGAACACCGTAAGCACAAGCCGCATCAAAAGCACAAGACAACATTGCATGAAGATATATATTAAACAGGGCAGGAGCTAACACGCAGCCTTGCTTCACACCAGAGACAACTGCAAAGTTATCCGAGGTCTCTCCACTCAGCTGCACCCTCGCTCGCATACCACTGTGCAGACATTCAATTAAACTTACAAACTTACGCGGGCAACCAAACTTACCCAACACCAGCCACAATGCCTCGCGGTTCACCGTATCAAATGCCGTGGTGAAATCAACAAAAAGCGAGTACAATGGCTGGTGTCGTTCTCTGCACTTCTCTTGCAACTGACGAGCCGCAAACACTATATCTATAGTACTGCGACCCGAACGGAATCCACACTGCTCTTCCGCCACGTTAGGTTCCACAACCTGACTGACGAGGCGGTTGAGCAGGATTCGGGCAATCACCTTGCCCACACAACTCAGCAAGTTGATGCCACGATAATTCGTGCAACATTGCTTGCTCCCTTTGCCCTTGTACAGTGGTAGCACAAGGGCATCTTTCAGCTCAGGAGGCACCTCCTCCTCAATCCACACGCGTTGCACCAAGTGGTGCAGCGCAGTCAACAACGCGGGTCCACCGTGTTTCAATACTTCAGGCGGGATCCCGTCGGCTCCGGCACACTTGCCGTTTCGCAGCTGAGCAAGTGCTCTCTGCGTCTCATCCCGTGTCGGCGTATCCGCCAGATCCGCCTTCACATCGTGCTGCTTCAGGCCGTTCAATGTAGGTCAGTCGATCTCTGAACGGGTGTTCAAGAGACAGTCAAAGTGTTTCCGCCATACCTGCATTATGTCTGCAGTCTGGGTGCAGGTAGCGCCTGAACTTCCATCGATCAGTGTTCTCAGCGGCTCCAATCTCGGTCCATACACCGCCTTCAAGGAGTCAAAGAATTCCTTGTGTTGGCGGCGTTCGGCGTAGCATTCCATCTGCTTCGCCTTCTCTGTCCACCATGCATTTTTAATGCGACGGAGCTCTCGGGCCAGTCGCCGTCGAAGTTTGCGAAACTGACTCTTCTTCCCCAAGTCACTGGGGTCTGCAGCATGTGCAGCAAATGCTGCATTCTTCTCCGACACCAATGCGCCAATCGTCACATTGTTGTCATCAAACCAATCAGGCCGTTTACAGTTTGCGCGCCCGATGGTCTCCTCGACAGCAGCTGTCACCTGATCGCGAATGTGGTGCCACAGGTCGCCCACTGTCGCTATGCAGTCCACATCACACAGGCGTGCAGCCATCGCCTTCTCCAACTCAGTACGTTTCGCCACAGTACCGAGGGAGAGAAGGTTAAATTTACGCCGATTCACGGCGGGAGTGCAATACATAGATTTACGAAAATATATGTACAGTTTGATCCGAAGCAATTTGTGATCAGTGCCACACTCAGCTCCACGCAGTACACGTGTCATGCGCACTTCACGCATATCACGCTGACGTACGATGACATAGTCGAGCAGGTGAGCGTGACCACTCCGTGGGTGCGTCCAAGTTGCTATATCACTTGCACTCAGTGCAAACCGAGTGTTCGTGATCGTCAGGCCGTGAGTGGCACATAGTGACAGCAGCCTGTCACCGTTCGCATTCGCGGAACCAATGCCATGCGCACCGATAACATATGTCCACGCTGATGCATCACGCCCAAAGCGCGCGTTGAAATCACCCAGCATAAATAGTCGGTGAAACATCGGCACAGACCGTATCACGGAGGATAGCTCAGTGTAGAACTGATCACGCGTGTCATCAGGATAACTCATAGTCGGACCGTACGTGCTTATAAAAGTAGCAAACTTACCTCTTCCGAGTCGTAGGCGAACAGTCATCCGTCGCGCGCTGATGCCCGTTGGTTCACCCACCAGCTGGCCATTCAGGCGATCGGATATTGCAAATCCGCGTCCACAACACTTTCCATCGAGAAAGCACCTCCCAACAACCGATTGACCAAGCAACACACCCAACCAAACCACATCAGCAACGATTCACCTAACAACCTCGCACGCACGCACGCAGCACACACACATAATCCGAAGCTAAACATACACATTCACCATGTGCTAATCTATGCGAAATTTCATCATTACGTGCAACACACACACACACACACAAGCAGCGCACGCGACGCATCGTGGTCAACCACACCCACAAATGCTCCAAGATAGAGAGAGAGAGAGAGAGCACAAGCAAAGTCACCATCAACGAAACAAACATCAACGACAATTCAACACGCATCCAGGCAAAATACTAACAACATACGATCTACATTACCAAACCAAACATACAACCAACCAACCAGAAAACCAAACACGCCAAACAACAACAACAACAACCTGCATGAAACCTTGCCAAAACCAGGCAACTACAAACTACACACTCACCTTGTATACATATCACCAGAACACGATTGCACAACGACGTCCGAAGGCCAACACTTCCTATTCGCATCTGCAACCAAATCGAACAAAGGATCTCAAACTTGCGCAAGCACAATGACACTTGACCCATGGATCTAACTAACCAAGTCAGAGGAATCATCCGATCACACATCAGCGTTGGATTGTCCCATCATCAGCAAAACCCGGTAAGTACAGTACTGCACCTATTAAATAAAGGATAAGAAGAGGGAGAGAATGGGGACTTACCTGAAAACCTTAATGCCCTAAGCAAACATCCAGGGTCAAGGCGCCTACACCTTGTGTAGACCACATTCCGTCACAAACAGCTGGCTATCTTGCAAAGATAAGGCGGCATCGGCGAGACAGCTTCCTTGCGGCTTTCACTGCCACGCGTCATAATCAGCCATTACCCCGCAGATAACTGAGCACCAAACACACTTTAAACAGACAATCCGATTAGGAGCCGGCGGCAGACGCGCCACTGGTGTCGGTTGCGAGTCATGTCCTGTAAAGTGTCGAGCCAAGCACAAGGTGAGTCACGTGGACTCCAACCCGGAAGGCGAGACGGACCAACGGCACCCAGTTTGGTCGTCAGTGACTTCATTTCCCGCTGCCAAGTCAACTTCTGTCCACCTCGAGCCTTGCGCCATCCTACACCTGGTAGACTGAACCAGGCCATCCTGGGTAAGCGGTGACCAGGCATGCGTAGCACGTGCCCGAGCCTCCCTCTTCTTATCCTTTATTTCATAGGTCCTCATGGTTGTATGGCAGCGAAGCATCAGCTCAAATGGCTGATGTACTGCTGTTGATGATGATGACAGTACTGCACGCACGCACAGACACACAAACTGGTCAACAATACAACACAGGACAGCTTGTGAACAAACGAAGCAAACGGTGCCCACCTACGAATACAAACATGTAATAACGAACGCTACACAGTGACAATGCAAAAACGTCACACATACTCACCCACATTCGCATTTGCCTCCTCAGCCTCAGCCTCAGCACGTGCTCCGAACCGCGAACAATGCAACAGCAAGGAAACCACCTACAACACAACACATAGTCTCTGCAATGACACACACCACTTATCGAACCATAGCACCACAAAACAGAAACAACACCAACTACATACCAATACCAAGTGGCAAACTCAGACGCCTCCAGTTCTTAACATCACGAGACTTCACGCAGTGGGTTCCGACTGCGCTGCGATCACCCCTAGCACCACGTATGCACCACGTGTCCAACCAAACGTGTTCATCGTCTTTCGGACCCTAACCAGGGAGCCGTGACGCTCCAACCGAGGCCACCTCCAAAGTTAGGGCCTTCATTCCTCTCGACCAAGTCATCGCTTGTCCACCGCTCCTCTTCTTCCATCCACACCCCCGGCGCGCAAACAACGCACGTCGCGGAAGTCGGTGGGCTGGCATGCGTAACACGTGGCCGAGCCATCGGAGCCTGGTGCGTGAAATAACGGTGCTGAGCGGTTCAGTTCCTTTTCCTGTGCCATAAACAAGGCGTCGAACACGCTCGTTGCTCACGCGGTGTTCCCACCAATTGTGGGCTAAATTACGAAGGCACCGGTGGTCGAACGTAACTAGCCTCTTCAGGTCCGCTGCTTTAAGCGGCCAGGTTTCACAACCGTACAGTAGGGTCGAACGGGCGCTGATACAACTTCCCAAGTAGTTGAATTTCTGAACGACTTCTAGCTGATCCCCACCAAGGGTCAGCGTAGGAGGCGGTCCAGACCAATCTTGGAGGAGCGCTTTGCACTTCGAGGGTGCGAAGCAAAGCCCGAAGTGACGGACAGCTAGTGCTAACCTGTCCAGTGCCGCTTGGCACGTTTGTGAGCTGTCACAGATCAGGGCAATATCATCAGCATACTCTAAGTCAAGAAGTCGTTCTCCTGGGAATAGCTCCACACCTTCTAAGTCGTGTCCTGTGAACGCGATTTCCATGACTTCGTCAACAGCGAAGTTGAAGAGGAAAGGTGACAGCGGGCATCCTTGTCTCACGCCGCTGGAGATATTAAAGGGCGACGAAAACTTGCCGTAAGCCCTCACTCTGCCCGAGCTACGAGCATATAATGCTCGGATAATATTCACATATTTCTCAGGTACACCTTTCCTGAGTAGACAGTCCCAAAGTGCATGTCTATCCACCGAATCGAATGCACCTTTTATATCGAGGAACACGACAACGGTGGGCCGCCAATATGTGTGACGGTGCTCCAACAACTGACGCAAAGTGAAGATGTGGTCAATGCAGCCACGACCTCGACGAAATCCAGCTTGCTCTTCACGAATCTGGCTTCCACGATTGCCAGTCAGTCTGTGAAGGATGACAGAGGCAAGCAATTTGGAGGCGATGGAGATCAGACTGATTCCTCTATGGCTGCCGCATTCCGATCGTGAGCCTCCCTTGAAAATTGGGACTATGACGGAGCGGCTCCAATCGGTTGGGACAGTTTCCTGCTCCCACAGTTGGACTAGTAACTCGTGTAAATCATCCACAAGAGCAGGTCCCCAAAATTTGAAGAGGGCTGGAGGAAGGTCATCAGGTCCCGCGGCTTTATTTAACTTCAACAGTTTGATCTCACGTTCGACTTCTGAGCGAGGGTGGATCCAAAGGAACAGCCCACGGAGCAGGGCGATCACTGGTCGGCGAGAAATCTAACAATTCCGACCGAGTAAATTGACTTTCAAAGTGCTCATCCCAACGTTCCAAGCGTTTTGATAAGTTGTGGATAGGCTGTCCACTCTCATCACATATAGTTTCACTAACACCAGGCCTCCTGCTGCCCGTTTCCCGTATCAGACGGAATAACTCACGATGGTTACCAAGGGCAGCGGCCATTTCCATCTCTGTTGCACGACGAGACCACCAGGATTCGCGGTCTCTCTTCAGGCTAGCACGGAGTTTCGCCCGGAGCTCTTCGCGAGTTTCATTGTGTTCGCTTCCAGCCGGAATATGCCGGCGAGCATCTATAAGTTCCAGAGACTGCGAAGAGACGCAATGTCCATGTTGGCGATTAGACATACCACATGAGGATTCGCCTGCTGCAAGTAAGGTCTGGTGAATATGAGACCAGTGAGCTTCAATTGCATCCAGTGAGCGTTTATCCAACTCGCATGACAGCGTAATTTGATAGGCGTTCAGAACAGCTGGCTTCGCCAGTCTGCCGGTGTCAATGCGCTCACAACATCGTCGCGGGCGTCCGCCAAAGCGCATCCGCATGTCAACACATACAAGTGCATGATCGGTGTCAACACCTGTGCTCCAAATCGAGCGACAGTTCTGGACGCAGCCTCTCCATCGGTAACTTATCGCAATGTGATCGATTTGCGTGCAAGGCTGGTTGGAGGCTGGTGGGCGCCAAGTCACCCTCCGGCGGGTGCTGTGTCGGAAATTAGTGCTCGCAAGGAATAAGCGAGCATCCTCACACAAATGAAGTAACCGCTCACCGTTATCATTACGGGAGCCTACACCATGTTGGCCGCCCAGATGCAGCTCATCTGTGGATAATTTCCTAACTTGAGCGTTCAGATCCCCAGCCAGCACAACAGTGTCCGAGCTTCTTCTGTGGCGAAGGAGCTCGTTCAGTTGACGATAGAAGTCGTCTTTTACCGAGTCATCGCTACAGTTTGTCGGTGCATAGGCAGCGATAACAAATAGACACCTGTTAGTCTCACGCAACTTCGAAGTTTTGAATGAGCCAGCCAATCGGAACGCACACATCCAGGCTACTGCTTGGAATCCAATCAACCAGAGTAGCTTCAGCCCGGGGACTCAGAGCAATACCAACACCGGCTTGGCCGGTGCCCGAAGCTGCATCGTCACCGGATAGGCGCAATGAGAAAGTGCTGCTAGTGTTACCTGAAGGGGATCGCAGTGTGAGTACAGAGCTCGAGTCTTGCAAGCGGGTCTCCGATAAGCAGCAGATATCGATCGAGAGGGTCTCTAATGTTCGGGCAAGTGCTGCCTGTTGACCGATCTGAAGCAATGTGCGAACGTTGAGGCATGCCAATCTGAAGGAGGATCGAGGGCTCCAAATGGAAGCCGATGAACTGGAATGGGCCGCTTGGTTGGACATGGGCCTGTTGACAGGGCAGGAATGACGCTCCGCGTTCGCATGTGAGTTGAAACTAAAAGACAAGCGACTACTGAAGCAAGGTGGGGGAGGGCCGAGAATTGGGGGTTGAAAACAGGGGGGATAAAAGTGAAGTTGGAACGGGACGATAAGGGGGAAAAAGCGCAAGAGGGGGAATAAGAAGACGGGAAGGCTTGAGCAGTAGCATTCAAACCCCTATCTACCCTGCCCGATGCAGCAGATAGGGCACCGTTGATTATCCTCTGCAGTGGCCAGAGCATCAGAAATTTGTTTGAAGTGAAATTCATTGTACCGCGTGGGCAGAATACTGTCAGGTTGCCCAGACCTAGACAGGAGAACGATTAGGGTTCTCAACCAAAGCCTTTGGTTCAAAAACCTGCCCGCAAGGCAGCGGATTTGGCGTTGGGCTACAAGGAGTCCGTTTTAAGGAATAAGGAGCCGCCCTCATTCCAACCCCCAACCTGGAGGACCAGGAGGCTGTTTGTCTGGCCTCTAACCATTGACCAATCTGGTATGAGTGACTCTGAAGGTGCAAAAATGCACCACCCAGTATAGCTCAATGGATCACTGAGGCACACAAACCATCCCACCACGGTAAGGTCCAGCTTCATTGCGATGGCTCTCCAGACTCACATTCCACTAAATCAGAAGGAAGTTTATTCCAGATGTTAACAACGCGGTTCGTAAAAAATTGTATCCTGATGTCCAGTTAAGTTCTATGATGTTTGCACTTCAGGCGATGCCCGCGCAGGTGGTCCGACAGTTAACTCAAACAGACGGGTGGGACTAATACCACTAAATCCCTTAATGATCTTAAACGTCTCAATCAAATCCCTTCAACCTATGCCGTTCCAAGGAAAATAATCCAAGGCTACTTAGACGATCTTCGTGCCTTCCCTCGTTGGACTTCGATCATCCTGGTCACAAGTTTCTGAATCTTTTCTATACACATGGCGTCACTCATCATCATCATCATGATACATGTCAGCTAGAGATGGTAAAACACCTCCGCTATTGTACCGCAATACATAAAGGAAATGCATACATACAATACATAAAGGAAAAATAAATACGACAGTTGAATGCCAGCTGAGCTACCAGCAACGGATACGCATCGTTCCGGTAAGCTACTAGCCGGCTACTAGGCAAAAACAAAAATTTAATTACGTTTTACCCTACGAAATAAGATCGTAGATGGAGGGGGAGGCTAAAGGGATGGGGAGGGACAAAGAAACTCACAGCAGGAACGCCACTGAGGTCGGCTCCTTGCCATATCAGCAAGTGTATCCAGCCAAACGTGTACACCGTCTTTTGGACCCCAACCAGGGAGCCGTGAAGCTCCAACTGAGGCCAGCTCCGAAGTGAGGGCCTTCATTCCTCTGGACCAAGTCATCACTTGGCCACCTCTCCTCTTCTTCCACCCACATCCCCGGTGAGCAAACAACGCACGTCGAGGGAGTCGGTGGGCTGGCATGCGCAACACGTGGCCCAGCCATCGGAGCCTGGTGAGTGAAATGACGGTGCTGAGCGGTTCATTCCCTTTTCCTAGGCCGTAAACAAGGCGTCGAACACGCTCGTTGCTCACGCAGTCTTCCCACCAGATGTGAGCCAAACTGCGAAGGCACCGATGGTCGAACGCAAGTAGCCTCTTCATGTCCGCCGATCTTAGGGGCCAGGTTTCGCAACCGTACAGTAAGGTCGAACGTACCGCTGCATTGTACAATCTACCCTTCAGGGCGAGAGTAATGTCGCGCCGTCGCCATAGGTGGCGAAGGTTAGCAAAAGCACTTCGAGCTTTCGCTATGCGGTTCGTGATCTCGTCTTCGATCCCAAGGGCGCTGATACAACTTCCCAGGTAATTGAATTTCTGAACGACTTCTAGCTGATCCCCACCAAGGGTCAGCACAGGGGGCGAACCCTGCCAATCCTGGAGGAACGCTTTGCACTTCGATGGTGCAAAGCAAAGCCCGAAGCGACTGACCGCCAGTGCTAATCTGTCCAGCGCGGCTTGACACGTCTGGGAGCTGTCACAGATGAG